CACGCTGAGTCCTGGCCCCTGCGAGTTGGGGGCCATCGTCAAAACGCGCGGGTACCCGAACTTCCATTTGGTTAAGACCCTGGAAAAAACAAACAAACTATATTTCACGTGGTGTTAGATTCCCTTTACAACCAACAGGGGAAAATAAAAACCGATTCTTAGGCAAATGGAAGCTAATGGGCAGAGGAGATTTAGTGAGTCCTTCCGGGTGCAAATTAGAACTCGTCCCCAGTCTCGTCCCCCATGTCCCTCCCAATTCACCACAGACTAGTTCATGCTTTGACTGAAGCTCATCCAGATACTCCTCTGGGTCCCTGCGTGCGTGTTTTTGCGCGGGTGCCCGCTTCACTTCGGGTTGCCCTATTTTGTGCCATACCCGCACCAAGCACAGCTGCTCGCCAAGCTGCGCATCGCCTGCGCCAATGCCCAAACCGCCGAGGGGTTTTGGTACGGATTCTGCTGCTCCACCTGCACGTGGTCCTCGCCAAAACGGAGCTGCAGCTGTAGGTCGGCTTCCCTCTAAGCTCCGTGCCCGGACCATGCTTTTGGCACGGCGCTGTCTTCTGTGTTGATGTTGGTTTTCTCTTTTCCCTAAGTTGGATGTATATGTAGGTTGGATTTCTGGATTTCTGGATTTTTGGATGTTCTGGATTGATGGATTCCTGTTCTGGATTCCTGAATTTCTGGATTCCTGGATTGCTGGATTTCTGGATTGCTGGATTTCTGGATAACCCCCCCGCCCCGCACCTCCCCCCCTTCTGTCGGTGTGTCAGAGGTGTCGGTGCAGGTGTTACTGTAGGTGCAAATGTTTCTGTTGCTGTTTGTGTTCGTGTCTGTATCGCTGCGTGCGCGTGCGTCCCTCTGGATCTCTGCTTGGGTCGCAGCCGGAGTTTCAGTCTGTGCATGCGTTTGCTTGCGTTTGTGTCTGTCTTTGTGCGTATACGTGTGTGTGTGTGTGTATGAGTTTGTGGTTGCGTCTCTGTATCTGTTTTTGTTGCCGTTTGCGTTGGTGTGCGTGCCTGTCTTGATTTCTCCGTGTCTGTGTCTGTGTGCGTGTCTGTGTCTCTGTATCTTTACCTGCTTGTGTCTGTCTGTGTGCAAGTGCCTGTGTCTCTGTGTGTCTCTGTGTGTCTCTGTCTGTCTCTGTCTGTCTCTGTCTCTGTCTGTCTCTGTCTGTCTCTGTCTCTGTCTGTCTCTGTCTGTCTGTCGCTGTCTGTCTCTGCCTGTCTGTCTCTGCCTGTTTGTCTCTGTCTGTTTGTCTCTGTCTGTCTGTCTCTCTCTCTCTGTCTGTCTGTCTCTGTCTGTCTCCGTCTGTCTCTGTCTGTCTCTGTCTCTGTCTGTCGCTGTCTGTCTGTCTGTCTGTCTGTCTGTTTGTCTGTCTGTCTGTCTGTGTCTTTCTGCGTGTACGCTTTTGTCTGTGAGCCTGTGTTTCTGTCTCTTTCCCCGTCTGCAGCGTTTCTGCTTGCACCAGTGTCTCGGTCTGCGCAGCTCTGAGCCCTATGCGGGTGGCGGAACCAGGCTGGAGGCCATGCGCTGTGTGGTTTGGATGGGTGGAGCTTAGGTCGCTGCGGGCCACAAAGGCCCTTGCGGGCCACAAAAGGCCCTTGCAACACCACCCATAAACTTACAGGAAACCCGTTCAAGATGACCGCAAACAAAATATCCACTGGTCTTTTCGTAGCAACCTTGCGTTTCTGTTCATTGCAACACTGTTCCGCTCATGCTGTGTTAATGCAAATCTACGAATCCTGGAATGTCATTTGGTGCCCTAGGCCTGATCCGAACATTGGCACATGCATGGCGTGCAAGCTTGCCTCCATCCAAGGTGTATGTCTTAAAATTGACCGGACGAGGCGCTGGGTTGAAGTCCAAGTCCACATAGTGCCAGGTATCAAACCTCAAGGCCAAGCCGTCCGTCTAGGGCTCCCCAAAACTGTCATTCCAGCGATGTCCTTGCTACTTTACCTGAATATTCAAGGCTCTGACTTTAGGTGTCTTGACTAAACACAAAGAGACCCCCTTGACCCCCCCCACTCCCCGCCGAAGGTTTCCCAATGAAAAGGTAGCACCAATGGTCCCAAAGCCGAGAGACCCATCAACCGACATGCCTGGGCCTTGGAGGCTTAGAGGTTTCCAGGGCTGTCTGAGATTTTGAGGGCAAAGTTTTTTCCGCAGGGAATCGATGCGTCCAAGAAGGAGCAGTCCAAGTCCAAGGCGCAAGTAACGAGCAGACTGATTGAGGCTGCACGCCCTCTCATATGCTCTTTCCTTCGGGTCCCAATCTGTTTACCCAGTTCAGGAACCACAAGGAAGCTTGAGCCTGCCGTGGATGCGGGAAAAAAAACAAAAACGTTCGCACCAGTGGGCAGGTGGTTTTTTTTGTGCCATAGACCTTCATCCCATGTGCGAAGGGCATTCTGTGCAACAGTAGGGTCCCGTTTTTTGGCTTCCTCGCCCAAGCTGCTCGCCAAGGCCCACAAAATGGCATCCAAATGGGTAGTCCCAAAATGGTGGCGTTCCTGTCGGCTTCTCTCTGAACCTATCCCAAGAAAGCATATGGGTGTGGTTCTCAAAATCAAACAGGAGGGGTTACGCAGGTTGATGTTTCCACTTACCATTTTGGTACCGGTTCTTTGAGCCACAGCCATATCAAAAAATGCGACGCGCCCCCCCCAAAAAAAATGAATAATCTGACCACCCAGTTGGGGCCCCAATCTGAGGGCATCCAAATTCTCCCAGGGGCTCGTTCAGACCCGCGGGCGGCAGCCCATCGCACATGGGCCTTCCGGCTCTTGTGCACTTGATGTGGTCCGGCCAAACGGAGCTGCTCACCTCGAAGAAACGAGCAACATCTGACCAGTGTGGAACAACACGTGGCCATGGGTCAAAATCCAAATCGGTTAGCCCCCAGTGAACATCCCAATCCAACCACTAAAATAGGCTCTAAAATGGGTGGTGCACCTACCCCAAAATGGGATCCCATTGGTCTTGACCCACAGCCATGTGGGTTTGAACTTTAATGAGGGACCCTTTGGTGTTTGGTGGACATCATTTAGGTGGGAATTTATGTCCACCAACTCAGGGGGTTCCCCATTAAACTTCATACCATCTGAATACCCGACCATACTACGACTAGGGCCTACCCCAAACCCATACACCAGGTAATATTGTGCGAGTTGCACATGGGGGGGACCTTCAAGATGGTGTCCCTGCACATTCCCTTCAAGACGACAAACACAAACCCGCGTATTGGTGTCACAACCTGTCAGCGGCTTGAAAACAGAAGCCAACCACGAAACCAAACGCTTGCAGGGGAGCCTCTCTGTTGAGCTCGGATATCAGCATTTGACGCTGCAATGTTGATCCTTCCCAAAAAAAGAGAGATATGGATGTTTCTGGCTGTCCACTTGGCCTGTCCTTTCCTCCTGGCTGCTACATTGTACTCAAGACCCCCCACTTTGAGTACGATTTGTACGACCATTTGCCGACCCCAAAATATGTGTTGCCGTCGCCGAGCCGCAAAGTCTGACATCCCCGGGAAGTCCTGCGCCCACTTCTCCTGGGATAAAAACTAATCGATTGAAAGTGAGAACTGGTGGCGAGAGAAAATGAAGGAACAGTGTTCCGTTTTGTGACTGCCCAAGGTAGACTTAAACCCAGCAGATTCCCTTATGGGGAGATCTACCACCCCTGGGCGTAAGTCCACTTTGGGGTTGCCAAAAATCTGAACCCTGTGAAGGAACACCCAGGCGGCTGCCCCACCCGGGCCAAGGGTCGGCCACAAAGGCCAAAACAAGCCAAGAAGGCGACACAGCAAAGTAAAACCTGACATTGCCAGAACAGGCCTCCCCTCAAAACACCACCCCCCACCAACAAACACTCACATTTCACATCACCAAAAAGGCGGTGTTTGAAACCACCAGAACGTTGGACATATCGGGACATTCCAGGGATCCCTGCAGAAAGAAAGCAAAAAACAAAAACAAAGGTTGCCCTTCCTCCAACTAACATGGCACCTGTGGCGAGGTACCTGGAAGATTAAATTCCTTCTGAAGGGACCCCCAGTCAGTGGCCATGTTAGTGGGAGGAACAAAAAGACAAAAAAAACGAAAAGTTGGAAATAAGGGACCCCTGCAGATCAGACGCAAAAAAACACAACCAACACCACCAAAAACAACCAAGCTGTTCCACCAAAACCCGCCAAAAAGGACACCTATGGACCACAGGTCATGGGGGCTGGGGGGGAGGGAGGGGAGGGGGGAGGGAGCCCAAATAAGCCCCTAAATAAGGGCTTAATAAGCCCCTAAATAAGGGCTTATTTGGGCTCCCTCCCCCCAGCCCCCATGAAAAGGTTAAACGCCTTTCGGGATCGGCCCAGGTCTCCAGGAGTCCGTCGAAGGCCGCCACCTGCGACGCCGCCAGCTGCGTTTTTGCGATCTCTGCCACCAGCAGGTGACCCGTGTCCAGCCTAAAGCGGATCCGGAGCCGTCGCAGATGGGCACGGCTCAAAATTCAAGAGCAGGAATTGGGGTGCCATTTTGGTACCACTTTTTTGAGCCTCAGCCATATGATCCCTTTACACGTCACCCCAATGGCGCAGCACATGCCCCTCATGAAGAATCCATACAGCCGTCGGCTGTACTTAACTCGTTTCTTGAGGCTGGCAGCACATGTTCAACATACTGTGGATGGTTGCGATATCCATAAACCGCAGCTAAGAAACCATGCGGAAACCATATATGGTTTGTCGGTAATTACATTGGGGAATCGAATCCTTCCAGGGTTTCTGAACGGTGGTACAGGATTTTGTGCATCCACACATATCTCGGTTGTTTTTTGTTCCCCTGCCAAAAGTTTAACTTCTAGTGGTTTAATACGGAAAACCCACTAGTTGGCAAAAAACTAAAGTCCTAACATCCAAGCAACATGCAACAAAGATGATCACACTGTGGATAAACGCAATCCATAAACCGCACCACTTGCTTGAAATTATAGCTTTT